GCTGCAACTGTGTGGAAACAACACAGTCGTCTGCAAACAGCAACATACGCATAGTTGTCACACGGACTAGGGTTCTCGCCCAGAAAAAATAACGGATGTTCAGGAATCCATCATCATCAATAGGGTACTTCGAAAAAAACCGTAAACACAAGCCGCATCAAAACCACTCGACATCAGGGCATGAAGATAAATATTATACAGGGCAGAAGTTAAGACACAGCCTTACTTCACACCAGAGACAACTGCAGAGTCATCCGAGGTCTGTCCACTCATCTGCACCCTCGCCCGCATACCACTGTGCAGACATTCAGTTAACCTTACAAATTTACGCGGGCAACCAAACTTACTTAACACCAGTCACAATGCCTCGCGGTTCACCGTATCAAATGCCTTGGTGAAATCAACAAAAAGCGAGTACAACGGCTGGTGTTGTTCTCTACACTCTTCCTGCAACTGACGAGCAGCAAACACCATATCTATAATGCTGCGACCCGAACGGAATTTACATTGTTCTTCCGCCACGTTCGGTTCAACAACCTGACTGACGAGGCGCTTGAGCAAGATTCGGGCAATCACCTTGCCCACACAACTCAACAAGTTGATGCCACGATAATTCGTGCAACATTGTTTGCTCCCTTTTCCTTTGTACAGTGGTAACACAAGGGCATCCTTCAGCTCAGGAGGCACCTACTTCTCAATCCACACGCGTTGCACCAAGTGGTGCAGCGCATTCACCAACCCGGGTCCGCCATGTTTCAATACTTCAGGCGGGATCTTGTCGCCACCGGCAAATTTGCCCTTTCGCAGCTGAGCAAGGGCTCACTGCGTCTCATCTACTGACGGCGTGTCCGCCATACTTACCTCCACCTCGTGCTGCTTCAGGCCATTCAAAGTGGGCCAGTTAGTCTCTGAACGGTTGTTCAAGAAACAGTCAAAACCATTACGCCAGATCTTCATTATGCGTGCAGTCTGTGTGCAGTTGGAACCTCAACTACCAGCGTCCTCAGCGGCTCCAATCTAGGTCCATACATCGCTTCCACGAAGTCAAAGAATTCCTTGGGTTGGCGGTGTTTGGCGTAGCATTCCATCTGCTTCGCCTTCTCCGTCCAGCATGCATTTTTAATACGACGGGGCTTTCGTGTCAGTCGCCGTCGAATTCTCCCAAACTTACTGTTCTTCCACAACTCATGGGGTTTGCGACCTGTGCAGCAAATGCTGCATTCTTCTGCGACACCAATGCGCCAATCGTCGCATAGTTCTCATCAAACCAATCGGCTACTCACAGTTTGTGCGCCCGGTGATCTTCTCGGCAGCAGCTGTCATCTGGTCGCGAATGTGGTGTTACAGGTCGCCCACTGTGGCCATCTAGTCCACATCACACAGGCGTGCAGCCATTGACTTCTCCAGCTCAGTACGCTGCGCCAAAGTACCGAGGGAGAGAATGTTAACTTTACACCGATTCACGGCGGGAGTGCAATACATAAATTTGCGAAAATATATGTACAGTTTGGTCCGCACCAATTTATGATCAGTGCCACACTCAATTCCACGCAGTACACGTGTCATGCGCACTTCACGCATTTCGCGCTCACGTATGATGACGTAGTCGAGCAGGTGAGCGTGGCCACCCTTGCTTTTTTCAGGTTACTATATCACTCGCACTCATTGCGAACCGAGTGTTCGTGATCTTCAGGCCGTGAGTGACACACAGTGAGAGCAGCATGTCACCGTTCGCATTCGCTGAATCAATGGCATGCGGGCCGATGACATCTGTCCACACCGATGCATCAGGCCCAACAAGCGCGTTGAAATTACCCAGAAGAAATAGTCAGTCGCTCCTCGGCACAGACCATATCATGGCGGATAGCTGAGAGTGGAATTGATCATGCGTATCATCAGGATAACACATGGTCGGACTGTACGTGCTTGTAAAGGTGCTAACTTGCCTCTTCCGAGTCGTAGGCGAACAGTCATCAGTCGCGCGCTGATGCCCGTTGGTTCACCCACAAGCCGGCCGTTTGGGCGATCGGATATTGCGAATCCGAACCCACGATTACGTGGTTCTGAGGTGGCGTTGCCCACCCAGTAGAATGTGTAGCCAGCACCTGCTTCATGCAACTTATCTTGTTCAGCAAGTCGGGTCTCACAGTGCACCGCAATATCGATGTGATAGCGCGCCAGTTCCATCGCGACCAGTGCATTGCGTCGCTCAAGGCGCTCACTCGAGTTCCGGTCCAGTAGTACGTACACATTCCAGCACCCGATGCGGCGCTTTGCGCGCAGGCATACGATTGCATTAATATGCAATCGCACGCGAAGTGGCGGTTGTGCTTCGGTGCTTGTGGGTCAGGTTATTGAGCAAAAGGCTCCAGGTGGAACCCCTCAAGCAAAGCACCGAAGCACAACCGCCACTTCGCGTGCGATTGCATATTAATGCAATCGTATGCCTGCGCGCAAAGCGCCGCATCGGGTGCTGGAATGTGTACATACTACTGGACCGGAACTCGAGTGAGCGCCTTGAGCGACGCAATGCACTGGTCGCGATGGAACTGGCGCGCTATCACATCGATATTGCGATATATATATATATATATATATATATATATATATATATATATATATATATATATATATATATATATATATACTCATAACTCGCAGGGAGGATGGATTGATTAAGAGGTCCACTTACCGAAAATCGACTTGGTCCGGTCAGTACCTGCACTTCACCAGCTTCACACCAGTGCGGTACAAACGGACACTTGTGAAGACTCTAGTTAGTCGTGCCAGACGAATTTGTTCAGCCGACTGTCTAGACGATGAGCTAGTATTAATTACAACAACACTAATGGCGAATGGCTACCCTCGAAGATTTATCGAGAAACACAGCCAACCGCGAGGACAAAGGGACTTGGTGCACACGGCAGCCAAGAAGAAAGTGTATATCGATTTACCTTTCAAAGGTGACTTAGCCACGCTGAAGACAACTAAGCGTATAATTTCGGCTACACAAGGAAGTTACCATGCTGCACAAGTTGTCGTTATCAACCGAACCCGAAATTTGCCCATATCTCCAACGAAGGGAGCTCAGCCTATTGAGGCCAACTCACACTGTGTATACCAATTTGTATGTGACTGCGGAAAAAGTTACATAGGCAGAACCAATAGAACGCTGACTTCCCGAATAAAGGAACGTGTGCCAAAATGGGTTCAACGTGAAGTTGCTCAGATTTCCTACCCCCGTCAAATTCCATGTTCGCGCAGACCGCCGGCTTCCTCGATAGGCAAACACCTATTAGACTCGGGTCACCAATTAGAGCTGAGCTCAGCGTTTACAGTCGTGTTACGTCACACTAATCCCCGCTTCCTTCGGTTTGCTGAGGCTGTCGCAATAAGCCGGATTAAGCCAGCCTTGTGTGTTCAGAAACAATTATTTGTCAGCCTAAATCTGCCTTGGACGTAGGTGTGAACTTCCGTCATACGTTTTGCACCTTAATTTTGTCTGGTTGCACCCACTGTTAGCTATATCTATGCATACCGGTTATTATTAATGGTACTGAGGAGACAATACGAAATGCATGCATCTACCAGCCTTCGTCTTCTTTCCGTGCTCTTCAAATTGTTGAAGGGAACTAACTGCTTTAAATATATATATATTATATATATGTATATATATGTGTATATATGTATATATATATATATATATATGCAAATATTGTCGCTTTGGTCACTGGGATCGTAGCTGAAGCAACCAAATATGAGAAAGAGCAGTTTTGCAATTAGTTGGAGAGTGCGATGTTTTCTGGCTTGCCACACTCAGTGTTCGTGTGCTTCAGCTACGATTCTCGTGATCGAAAGACCAAGCTTCACTTCAAAAGGAATCGAGGTCCTTATTGAGATTTCGCGTTACAATACATTCACACAACGAGAACTTCGAACTGACCCCTGCAATCAAAGTAGAGTTACTTTGAAGCTATTTCCCTAAATCTACACACGCCATCGCCTATAACCTGTCGCCTCTTATCACCTCATACGCGTGGTAGCAGCCATTACTTCATAGTTATCGCAACACCAATTTCCCTTGATGTATAAGTTTTACGGCACTTCTTCTGTGTAAGACTAGAAACGCTACCATTTCTTAATGCATACCGCTACGGGCGTATGACTTCAATACTAAGTTGCGTTTGTCTATCAATGCCTTGGCGCTCTTGCGGAAACACATCAGCCGTTTTACCATTTCGTATGCTCCTGTCTTTCGAGGTAGGTATCAACAGTGTTCTTCGAATTGCGCTTTGTGCAACTCAATACGATATAGGAAAGTCAGCACCTGATTTGGGAATACTGTGGTACCCTTTGTATTTCCATTTAACATATTACGTTGCACCTCTTGATCCAACAAACGACTGGTACTTTTATTCTTGTTGGATGCGAAACTGCATCGCGTCAAATTTCAAAGCACAATCCCCTCATTCTCATGGTTCACATACCCATATTCTTAAAACTGACGACGTACCCAATATTACGAGTGCCTGTCTTCATCTGAACTTCCTCATCGTATTATCATTCCGCATTTCTGCTATCGGGCGATTGTGCCACTGCTTTTTTCTTTGTATCACGAAAACCACACATTGATTCCAACTTGTCGCCATCCGTTCTGTTTCACTAGTTCAATACGAGACATGTTAATCATCAATCAAATCGTTCATATTTGCACTTCACTGGATACGACTTTTTGAGTAGTTGTTTTCAGGCTGACAAGACCGTGTACCCGCTAGACCTGTGTAGACCTGATATACACTGCATCTTTTATGTCACAGTGTTTGTGTCAACGGCACTACATGAACTTATTTTCGGCGTATGCATTATTTTTGTTTTGTCCACCACCTGTCATCTGCTTGACATGCACATTACAGTTTGATATCTATGTTGACTCGGAACTGCTGCACCTACATCCTGCACATCATTGTTACGATATATCCTGTTCCCATTTATATTCACAGCTTTGATGATGACAATTTTTGCGATGACGAAGCTGACAGCACATGTGACTGGCCTGTTAACGAGACCAGTCTGGCTTCTACCGGACACTCCACTTGCGTCGCCCCTGTGAACGGAAAGGATGCATCAGTGACGTCTAACGGAGGTGATGTCACAGCATCTCATTCCCTCTCGGAGAAGCAGACCCCTCCTTCTGACTGTTATGGGGAAGTTGTGTGGGTTGGTGAGACTAACGCATCCGAACAGGTCCTCCAGTCCCCCACAAAGATGGCTTGTGTCAAGCCAGTTGACTTCAAATCAGGACAGGTTTCGGAGTCACACTGTTTAATTCGCACAAGCCCCATTGCACGCTCCGCGTCTAATGGGCCGCAAATAATACGCACCATTCGTGTTCCTCAAGCGTCGATCTCATCCACTACTCCTTCGCCAACCGCAACTCTTGCGGCAGCACCTTCTTCTAATGGTATTCACATGCGACGTTTGCCACTATCCGTTCGTTTTGAAAACAAATCTTCCGCCAAATATCCCCCTTCACCCTGGTCTCAGTTGAGTTTAAACGGATGTGCCAGGAATCGCTTTACGTCTTTTTCCTGTTCTCACGCAGATGATCTTGAACTGGGAAATGGTAAGTATCCTCGAAAAATGCTCCGTTGCGATGCATGTGGCAAATATTATCGCAATGAATACAGCTTGCATCATCATATTTGCCTAAAGCGTAAGGATGTGTGGAAAAAGGGTGATGTTCCTTCGGAAGTGGTCGATGGTCAACTGATCTATTACTGCCCCACCTGCCACAAGCCTTTCAAATGGCTCGGAAATCTCACACGTCACTTCTATGTTCATACTGGCCAGCGGTTTTTCAAATGTGACATCTGTTCAAAGGAATTTTTCTCTGCTTACCAAGTTAAACGCCACATGAATTCACACACAGGAAGACGGTTCAAATGCGAGGTATGCGAAAAGCCTTTTACGTGCAAATACGCGTGCGCCTGGCACACCCGGCAGCACTACAGCTGCGTAGAATGATCTTCAACAAACCCTCGATCGCCCCACTCCGGTTGTGTTCCCTTTGTCCCATCTACGGCTCAATTACATACTTATTTTTATACGCTGCTTTTGACGCTTTGAAGTTCACTTTTATAGACGAAGAGGGGTTTGATTTTTCTTGTGTCTTCCACTCATTCACACAAAGGCCCGTTCGTGTGAAACGGTGCCCATCTTTTATAATCCTGTCTTCCCTCTGCTAGTGTGTGTGTGTGTGTGTGCCGTTGGTCGATTTTTGCTCACATCCCCACATTCACATTGATTTCTCTCTCTCTTTATATCTCCGTGGTTGTCTTGATTACCTTACCAATGGAGCACATTTGCTTGCTGAGAATGCACGTGTCCTCTATATGTGCATGCTTCACAGTCTCACACATTTGTGAGTTGTAACCTCATTCATCTCTTCTGCTGCCTTCTCCCCTTTTTCCTTGACTCCAATTTTGTGCCTTGAATGTGTTCGCAGCTTACCGACGACTCACAGGAACCGACTTTTAGTGCCTAGTTTATTTCTGTGTTGTGTTTCGAAACTTCTGTTTCTTTCTAATAACGCTAGCTTTCGACCTTGCACCGAAATGTTAATTGTAAAAATGAAAATGATTCTTACACTCACATCGCCTTGTTACCTACTGCTGTAGGGAACGTTACTTTTGCCGAATCGTACAGCTTCTCTTGTCGCCAGGTGAGAAAGTGAATTTGACTTCTGTCCCCAACACTTGCCCCGCCAACTTTTGTGGTGCTCAAACCGAGTGGATGGATTTACGAAGGCCTGTGCAGGTATTATGTTTTCTTAGTTTGCCCTCCACTACTTGTGTTCTCAATCTGCGTGCTGCATTATTAAGCTTCGTTTGTCCAGCATTTCGTTTTGGTCGTGGCACTGCTTTCAGCGATCTTTCTCCGTTCGAGCATGTCTTTCGCTGCCACATTACCTTAGGCATATCTGTATGCTTCAGCCTAGAATTAACAATTTTGTGACCTGTCATCGCCGTGAGACTGTCCACTAACGTAGCGGAGTAATTTGCCTTCACTGGATCCACTGGGTGGAACACATCAGGAGTCGTTTTAATAGCCTATAATGAATAAGTCAGTCGTTGTCGATCGGACTACCTTACTCGTGACATCCTCCTGACGTTGCTATTGAGGACTGACCGGTGACATTTGTTACGTTTTTATGCGATTCCGGTCGGAGCCGTTACCATCCTCGTTGCCCCCAATCCGGTTCTCGAGCATGAGCACTTAGATTCCACACTCACTTTATTCGCCTGGCTTCAGCGCCAATAGCGTACCCTGAACTGGTATAGCATCGGATACGCATTCAACCGGATTAGTCTCGCGGAATCCATCCATTTCGCTTCCCATATCCTCTAACTATTCGCTCCTCGGCTTTCTGTCATCTGCAGTTGTCGACGTATGAATCGACGACTGTCTATCCAGAGCGAGCGGCATCTGGCGTATCAGACCGTTGTCGGTATGTCGAGTAACTCTACAAAAATCAGTGACAAAGACTCAACATTTGAAGGGTTATTTCAAACAGCCACAAGTCTCCATATTTTATATTACTCGTAAGTAGCAGGATTTTAGCACAGCCTAGTCAGGAAAAGCACCCGCCGCGTTTCGCCCTATTGGGGCTCGTCAGTGATGCGCATTCCCTCGGTCCTCAACAAAATCACAACTAAAATCCTACGACTTAAGTGCAGTATAAAATAAATGGCCTCTCCCAGTTTCAAAATCCTATGGATATAGCGTCTAGTAAGAGGACGCCATCACCTCGCTGGCTTACCAGTGTCGGTGGAAGATAGGTGGTGCTATATCCCAGTTCGTTTGTAAAGTATGTAGCCCAGCCAACGTCCCCCCATGGCTCAGTGGCTTAAGCTGCTGACTGGTTGGCATTTTCATATTTTATTGTATCGCTTTTTAGCCACTGTCGCGCCTCGTGGGGTCAAGATGACGTCGTTGTTGCGCATGTACGAGGTCGTCTTGCGGTCAGTGACACGCGTACGCGAGGTCATCCTGAGGTCGTTGAGACTCATTCGCCTTATCCACCACTCACCATATGGAACAACAACGTCAGCTCGGAGGCCTAACTAGGGGGCCGCACACTACATCCAGCAAAAGCGGTTGCCAACTGATGCAGAGCTGTGTCGTATCCGGGTTACCTGACAAAACTGCGAGGCCTGTTATCAGGACACACAAAACTTGAAAATTCTGCGCCGTGCAACACCTGCAGGATTGCGCTCAACGTCCGACATGGGGCCGGACTTGCGCCAGATGCAGCAAACAGAATCATTTCGCTGGGTGTTGCCAGTCTTCGAAGGTGACTCCGCTTGATCGTGACACAACGCTCTCAGACTATGAACATTCAATCAGCATAGTGTCGCAGATAGGACCAAAGAAGTGCGTCTACGCAAATTTATTGGTTGTTGACGAAATGGTGCATTTCCCCTTAGACACGGGTGCTACCATCAACGTAATACCTACGAAGCGTTGCCCAGGAATTCGTTTACGACCGGTTCAGGGAACGGTTCCAAGTTCCAGCCGAAAGGTTTGGCCACAATCAAAGTTATCAATCTTAAAGACGGATCTTCACATTTGTGGGAATTCGTGCTCGTGTAGGAAGAGCTTACGCTGATTCTCGGCATTGATTCCATCCATTGTCTTGGCTTCTTCATTTTAATCATGATCGTTTTGTGCATGAATGTGAAGCGGCGACAAATATTAGTGGACAGTATCCGCCCGTGTTTAGCCCAGCTTTGGGAAGATTTGATGGTTCTGTACATTTGTCACTTGATTCGTCAATACGACTTACTTCGCTGCCGGCCAGATGCGTTCCATTCACTTTACGTAACAACTTCGCCACCTTGTTAAGTAACTTGATGTAGTTGGGCGTAATCGCTACGGTCGACGAGCTGACTGACTGGGTTAGCCAAGTCGCGACTATTACGAAAAGGAAAGTTTGCTTTGCGTCTGTACATAGATCCTAAACCCTTGAATGAAGCTTTAGGTAGAGAACACTGCGCTGACAATGTTAGAAGATGTTCTACCGCGTTTGGCCAAAGCAAAGTAGTTCACCAAGTTTTATCTGTCATCGGCATTCTGGCACGTGATTCTAGACGAAGAATCCAGTTTCTTACCGACGTTTTCTACACCCTTCGGACGTTTTCGATAGCTACGTTTACCGTTTGGTTTGAAGGTTTCGATTGAAATTTTTCAAAAGCGATAGACGATCTATAACATTTACGAGTCAAGTTAGCCCGTACAGGTAACGAATTGAGTTAATCAGATATTAATTTCCTTTGTTATCCTAACAGGTTGGTCTTTCCGATGAACCAATGTGACTGTGGCACGCGTACCGTCGTGCGACTTAGCCATGCGCCGTCAGGCAATAGCATATCGGATGCATGTACGCAAGTGTAGGTATATATATATATACATATATATATATATATATGTATATATATATATATGTATATATATATATATATACAACCTGAACGATAGGATTGACGAACAGACGCAGGGATAAAAAGGAACAATGACGCGGAGAAACCGAAACCAATGACAAAACCACAATTACAGGAAACACCAAGAGAAATTTATTGGAACGAGCTCACGGGGGTATTGAGTCGGACAAAAGACAATCAATGCGCCGACGTGAATGTGGGTGATACTCCAGATCGAAAATTCAGTGGGATGAGAGTCGGACCGGGACCCTCAGGGAGTGGCTAATTTTTGCACGAAAAATTAATCTTACGGGGGCGTTGAGTCTGTGTACGCAAGCCACTAATATATATATATATATATATATATATATATATATATATATATATATATGTATATATGTAAACGTCGCTATCAAATCCCCTCTCAACCTACACCGCTCCAAGGAAAATAATCTCAAGCTACATAGACGATCTTCCTAGAACTTCCTTCGTTGACCTTCGACCATCCTGGTCGCAAGTTTCTGAATCTTTTCTATACACATGGCGTGGGTACGGAGGTATAGTGCCCAGGCCTGAACACAGTTTTCCAGATGTGGCATAACCAGTGCCTTATATAAAGGCCAAAATACATCAGCATTAGTGTTACTTAGCGCCCTCCTAAGGCGAAACAATTATTGGCAGCATGGAGACACTGTGCGGACCGTCGCAACGAGACTGGAACTTAACGTGGTGCGACGGTTTGCGTACCTCCTTGACCCATTGAGCTATACTGAGTGGTACCTCCGGGCACATTGTGAGCTACTTCTACCAGGTTGGTCAATGGTGAGAGGTCAGACAAACTCAGTCTCCTGATCCTCCAGCTTGGGGGTTTAAAATGGGATGGCGTCTATTCTTGTAAAACTAAATCATTGCCACCTCCCCGCTGCCTTACGGACAGGCTTTTAAGCCAAACGCTTTGGATGACGACCCTAACCGTCCTCCTGTCTCGCGACACGCACCTGAGGCCTATCGTCAACAGCCCGTTATAAGGCCACGCCGTCCCGTTTCTATGGCGACGTTCAACGTTCGCACTCTAAGACAGGTCAAAAGGCTGCACTCGCACGCACCTTGGACACATTGGGTATTGATGTGTGTTGTGTGTCCG